ACAATGCTGCTATGAACATAGTTGAGCATATACTTTTGTTGTATGATAGGGCCTCTCTTGGGTATATTCCCAAGAGTGGTATTGCTGGGTCCAGGGGTAGGTTGATCCCGAATTTCCTGAGAAACCGCCACACTGCTTTCCAGAGTGGTTGCACAAGTTTGCATTCCCACCAGCAATGGATGAGTGTACCCCTTTCTCCACAACCTCTCCAGCAAAGGCTATCATTGGTGTTTTTTATTTTAGCCATTCTGAAAGGTGTAAGATGGTATCTTAAAGTTGTCTTGATTTGCATTTCCCTGATCGCTAAGGAAGTTGAGCATGACCTTAAGTACTGGCTTTGGGGGAGCAGTTTGGATGCTCACCTTACTAGACCTGGATGGAGGTGGGTGGTCCTTGGACTTCCCACACATCAGGGAACCCTTATTGCTCTTCGAGCTGATGAGGGAGGGGGACTTGATCGGGGGAGGGGGAGGGAAATGGGAGGCGGTAGCGGGGAGGAGGCAGAAATCTTTAATAAATAAATAAATTAATTAAAAAAATTAACTTTTTTAAATGAATAAACAAGATGAAGAAAAGGCAAATACAAGCAATGTTTGCAAATCACATATCTGAGGAGCAGAATCACATATCTGAGGAGGCTTAGAATTGTAGCACAATGTTGGGGTGTTCATCTCACCCAAGGAGGTCCTCTGCTCATCCTCAAGACCACACACACAGAGAGACAGAGGAATACAAAGAAGTCTTAAGACTCAACACTTAAAAAGAGAAACTCTCATGAGAAATGAGCAGGGCGCCCATGAGACATGGCCAAGAGGAAACACAGATGTCAAACTGACATTAACCATGCACAAGAGGAAACACAAATGCAGATCATAGTAAAATCACCAAACACATCTAGCAATAGCCAAAGTTTTAAATTAATAACACCAAAAGGGGTGAACACAAAACAGAACCCATAAAAGCAGAAAATCGGAACCCATAATATATAAGCCAAAGGTCTCTAAGGATAAATTAAGCCCAAAGATATGAGACAATACGTTTCCAAAATTACCATTGAGTTTGCTTTGGGGCCATGGACCTACTCAGAAGTGTGCCTTATATACCCAGTGAGACTCTATTGTAGAACACTGATTTTTCCTTTGCAAAGGGATGTCAACTGGAGACAGAGTCTTGGTTGGGCATAGGAGATAGTATCAACTTCCCCTGCTTACTGTTTGGGCGCCACCTGACTTAGACCTGCACAGGCTTGTGCAGGCTGTCATAGTGTCTGTGAGTTTGTGTGTGCCGTTGTCCTGTAGCGTCTGGAGGACGCTGTCTTCTTGGTGTCCCCCATCCCTCTGGCTCTTCCAATCTTCCCTACTCCTCTTCCCTGAGCTCTGAGAGGAGGCGTTTGATGAAGATGACCCATTTAGAACTGAGTGTTCCAAGGTCGAAGAGAGGCTTTTGTGAAGAGGGGTAAGAACTACGCTTGCCTGTGGGTATAAGGAAACAATTTAGAATGTAGGAAAGAATCATGCTGATCCAGCAAGTGTTAGTAGTAGAGTCTCTTCTAAACTCCACGCCTCAGTAGCTCTGGTTAGTTGGCGAAATTTCTAGTACCATCTGTGATTTCCCTCGTGTTGAGTGGTCTTCAGTCTCAGGAGACAGCTTTGGTGACAGCTGATATACGACTGAGACTTTTGTACCTTTAGGGCTAGCTTGCCGTGCTGGTCATTGCTCTCCTTCATGTACATCCCGTATAAAAACATCATTGATTGCTTCCCTCCTTAGGCAACCATGGAGTCTGGTCTGCAGCAAGGAAGGCTGTGGGTTAGATTCGGATGGAATCATCTGAGTCCGGGGCCCTAAATTTACACCACCGTTTTAAAAGGATATAGCTATGTTAACAGTACATAGTCAGTGACCACCCGCAGTCGCGTGGAAGGGAAGAACTATATCAGAGTGCAGCACAGGACACTCTTCTTGGTGACAAAATGGTCCTGCCCCCATGGTTCCACAAACAGGTAACCTAATGGGAGCACTCGAATTATGTCCTCACATCGCTTCAACGTCAGTTCCTGTTGGTGACAGGCACTGCAGTTAGGTGAAGTGAAGCTACTGCAATCTAGGGGAAAGGTCCTTCCTCTATGACTCTTGTCCATCTGTGCTTGCTAAAGTAACACCTTCAAGCTTACCTCAGCAGTTAAAGTTAAATTTTAAAAGTGCAAAGCCAGCAACAGTCTTTAAAGTGACAGAACACCCCCCTGAAAGCTGCGGGACCAGGGCACTCAAATGGTGAACTCTAGCAAATATTCAAGGGGAAAAAAATAAGCCTTGTTTTACTCAAACTGGTAGAGAACAAAGAGAAAGTAGTGTCCATCATATTTTAAAAGGCTAACGTAACCTGGAGAACAAACTCTTGTAAGGAATCTGTTGGAAATTAAGAATTTAGGACACAATAATCATGAACATAAAGGAAAAATCCAAAACAAAAAAATTTAGCAAACTAAAAGCAGCATTATGTAATATAATGGCACTGTGACCCAAGGGCAAGAACTAGAAATTAGGGTTTCTCATCTTCACCCTCTCCTTCTCTCTTCCCTTTAAGACTTTGGTAAATGAGCTGGCTCTCTGTGCAAGTGGTGGCAGGTCCAAATTTCTGTTCACTTCAATCCTGTTCACTGTCCTGGGTGTGGAAACCTTAGGGATCGGGAGGGCACTCACTCAGCGACCCTGTCAGAAGACAGGGAGTGACAAATAGGGCGGAAGAGGGATCCTGGTGAAGACAGGTGAAGAGTCAGAGCCCAGCAAACGAGGTCAAAGTGTTGCAACTTTCCTTTTATCTTAACCTTTGTAACAACACTCCCACTGCCCTTAACAATGTCTGGCATAGGCAGGGACTTAACAGAAAAGTATAGCCTGGATTGCATAAAGCAGTCCTGGATAAACCATGAACGCCAAGACTGTTGTACAGAAGATGAAGAATTAGGTAGCTCTCAGGGAAGACCAAAGGGATAGAGACTGAGAAACAGAGTAAGTGAACGTGAAGGAAATGACTTCCAAAGTGACGTAAAAGGTCGTGTTTTGTTACAATGTACATTTAGTGCTCATTTCCCTTTTGAGTTTCAAATGGTATGTTACAGGCATTTGTGTAATTTAGTGTCTACTGTACCTCCTTCCAAAAATAATTTAAATCAGTAGACAATGCCAGATATAAAAAAATTACTAAAATCATTCAGTATATTAGCATTATTGGGAAAATTAAAATCAATAAGAAGATCGAAATAAACAGGTTCCTCTCGGATGCTCAAGGATGAACGTGACAGAGGCACAGCACAGACAGCTGGGAGAAGTCAGGGCCCTTGCGAGGCATTCATCTCCAGGTACCTTTCGTCAAGAAACAGTTTTCTCAGTTCTTGAAGGTCACGCGACTGAGCCTGAAGGTCACACGAATGAGCAGAGTCCCCCAAAGGCATAATACAAAGGAAAGAGGGTCAATTTTGCTTCAGTTTAAGGAAAAATATTTCAAGCTGATCAAGTGCCAAGCAAATTTGCGTTCTCTGTTTTCTGACCGGAAGTGCCTTTCACTGGGACTGCTCCCCGAGGAAGCCACTGCATTCTGGAGATGAGGAGCCTGACACCCAGGAAGTTTAAGTGGCTTCCACAGGCCGTGAAGCCAGCAAGTGGAAGAATCTGGATGTGAACTTCATTTTGTCTGACTCTCGAGGCCCATCTCCAAACCACCGAGGCTTGCTTGCTCCGGAAGTTTCCTTCCTACATTTCCTCTAACTACTGAGTCTGCTTGGAGTGAAAAAGGATTATGAACACTGACCCTGATCCTATACTTTGAATTGCTTTGTTAAAAGGATCATTTTAAAAATCAGAAAAGAATAAAATATAGCTTTCCCCCAAAAACAAAAAGAACATGATGGGTCTGTGCATACTCTTTACTGCAGTAGGGAAGGAAGTAAGAGGGAGGGAAGCCCTGTGAATTCAGTTTTTAAACCAACCTTGAGAATCATCCTGATTAGACTACTTTTTAAGACTCTGCAGTGATCACGCCCTGGAGAAGGTGGCCGCTTGTCAGTCATCCAGACGTGGCTCTGCGTGTCCTGCCACTCTGAGGCAGCTCTTGACAGACTCAAGCCCGCCAGAAGCTGTGGTTCCTCCTTCTTTTAATTCACTCCAGTTCGACAGCATGAAGCCAGTGTGTCGATAAAGTGTTCGGAGGATGTCATGGGAATGTTAGTGTTGGCAAAGGGACATGAACATCACACAAGTGAAGTGCATCACCTGTTGCTGAGTATGGAAGCTCCCAGGAGGTAAAACTAAGTAGGCCGCAATGCCCCAGGAGAGTATTTGGAGAAATGCTATATTCCCTATATATAGAGGTGCTATATTCCCTTTCTCACTTAATTTGCTCTTGGCCTTGGCTACAGTTAGGGGTCACTGATTGTGAATGACTATGGGAGGCTGATTTGATTCCCAGACTAATATAAGAATCTCTGTAGTGACATATTCTTTCCTCAGATGTCTCAGGCCTTAGACCAAGTCCCTGATGATAGTATCTCACTGTCAATGATTCCTGCCTTGTTTATGGAATTTGAACATAAACAGAAAGTCCGAGACTTCTAGGTTTGATTCCTGACCCATCTCTTACTAGCCAAGTGGCCCTGGTCAAGTAATGGATATATCCGTGTCACATAAATTTCTATTGCTGCTGGAATTAAGTGCTGTGAAAATAAGTGCTTAAAATAAAGCACATTTTTCCCCATTTTTTTTTCTTTCTTGCTTTTTGAGACAGAGTTTCTCTATGTAACCCTGGCTGTCCTGGAACTCACTCTGTACACCAGGCTGGCCTCAGACTCAGAGATCTTTCTGCCTCTGTCCTCTGAGCGCTGGGATTAAAGGCGTGTGTCACTATCACCCAGCTCGTTTGCTTCATTTTAAGAAATCAGAAACTATCTTAGTCACTGTTCTGCTGCTGTGAAGAGACACCCATGACTGCAGCAACTCTTCCAAGGGAAAGCATTTAATCGGGGGCTTGCTTATAGTTTCAGAGGCTTAGTCCATAATCACCTTGGCGGGGAGCATAAAGCAGGCAGGCGTGGTACTAGAGAGGCAAAGCTAGGGGGAGCAACACTAGGCCTGATGTGGGCTTTTGAAATCTCAAAGAGCACCCCTAATAACACCCTTTCTCCAACAAGGTCATGCTTCCTAAGCCTCCTGTGGAGCCCTGCCCGTACCACTTCCTAATGACCAAAAATGGATGCTTAAAACAGCACACATTTTTTAAAAATTTGTTTCAGTTTAAAAGATGAGAAAGAAACAAAAAAAAAAAATGATGTTAGGAGCCTAAAGTCAACGTCTACCAAGTTTCATTCTTTCTGGAGGCTCGGGATGATCCTTGTCCAGCTTTTAGAAGTCACCTGTCTTCCTTGACTCGGGGCCCCCTCCCTTCTTCAAAGCCAACAGTCACATCACTTAAGTATGTCTGGCTGCATGTTAATCTCTAAGCTTTGACTCTGCAATGGCTATTCTTTGTTGTCAACATGACACACTTGGCAAGACGGAAGCTCCCCTGAGAAATTACCTCTGTCAGACTAGCTGTCTACGGGGCATTTTCTTGACTGCTGGGTGATGGATGAGGGCCTACTCTACTGTGGACAGTATGTGGACAGTATGACTCCTGGGCAAGAGAGCCTGGTTCTCCAGGGTAGCTAGCTGAGCAGAGCAGATAGCCAGCCAGTAAGCCATGTTCCTCCATGGTCTTTGCTTCAGTTCCTGTCTTGAGTTCCTCCTTTGGTTTCCCGCCGTGATAGACTGTGATCTGTAATCCAAATAATTACTCAAGTTGCTCTGAGTCAGTATTTTAACCACAGCAACAGAGAAGCAGCCTAGGCTAGCCTCAGTTAACCAGAGTATAAGCCAACCCATTAGCTTCAGGTTTTGTGAAAATACTTCTGCTAGTGTAGATTACTATTCTGTTCCCATCCGCAAACTACTCAAGAATTAGCATTTCCACCGGCTAGCTACCATGATCTTCAGCTCTTCTGTGGTGCCAAGTGCTACCCAATGCCCTTTGCACTGTTTATCATACACAGAGTGAGTATGGGCAAAGTCTGCTTAAAGATACACATGACAAAGTACTAATACTGAATTATTGCCTGTCTATATTGAACTCTGCAGTTTAAGAACTAGAGCAATATAGAAGTTTACATTTATCAAAAGCACCTCAAATATTCTAATGAAAGAGGTAGCCCATGTTGAGCATCACCAAGAATTCAAATTAACAAGCTTCAGAGAAACTTGGACATTCAAAAATGTTTTAAACTTTGTCTCTCTCTCTCTCTCTCTCTCTCTCTCCCTCTCTCTCTCCCTTTCTCTCTCTCTCTCCCTTTCTCTCTCTCTCTCTCTCTCTCTCTCTCTCTCCCTTTCTCTCTCTCTCTCCCCCTTCCTTTCTCTCTCTCTCTCTCTCTCCCTTTCTCTCTCTCTCTCTCTCTCTCTCAGTGTACATCTATTTGTATTTTTCTTAGTGGAAGTTTTATAACTTCCAACATATTTTAAGGGATTCTGATATAATTTTCAAACAGCAACAGAAAGTGTTAAATATTTACCATTAACATATATTTGGACTTGTTACATAAAAAGCCTTTTCTTCCTTATTTGAGAAATAAAGCATAATATTAACATGTGACTGTCTAATACATGCATTCTATTATGTAAGACACTGTTGCATACATTCCCCCAAAGAAAAACACCTTCAATTTGGTTATAGACAGACACACACACGTGTACATACACACACATAAACACACATACACACACCCTAGATTGTATACTTTAAGTCTGGAATATTAGAATTTTAAAATAAAATCGACAATACGTGTGTGTGTGTGTGTTCTACTGGGCAGAAAGAACAGCTGCAAATCCATTATTTTTACACGGAATATTTAAGATCAGCAGATAGGTATGTATTGGTTATGGTCCCTTCGCCATCACTTTTTTGGTTTTATAGTCCTAGAAAAGTCCTTTACTATCTCTGAGTACCTGAAGATCGACTGTTTGTAGAGATAATGTCACATGATCTTCTGAAGGCAGGATAAGGACTTCATGATATCCTGAAGCCCTGATATAAGTGTACATGTGTGCATAAATGTGTATTTGTGTGCTCATGCATATTTGCATATAAATTATTTACATTATGCAGCTGGAAAATACAGAAGAGTGTAAAGAACAAAATATCCTATGCCCTCACATCCTAGAGATAGTAGGTCTTGTCTGCTACATTTGTTCACATGGAAAAGCCCCAGCAACACTGGCTTTAGTGTGGCATTGTCTTAGAGACAGTCATGGATATTGAATAAAATGACGCAAACCTGAGCATGTGCGCCTGTTGTCCCAGCTGCTCAGAAAGCGGAATTAGGAGAACTGCTTTGGCCCAAGAGTTCGGATTCTGCCTGGCAACATAGCATGATGCTGACTCTTAAAAAATAAAGTGATGCATCCCCTATATTGAAGAAGAAGATGTGTAAGCAAAGACAATATAGATAAATTCAGCATGTACATTTATATAAGCAAAATGGTAGATACCTTTTACAGAAGTTATACATGTGGACAATCTGATTACTGTTTAATGGGAATGCTTCACCATAAAATACAACAAGTATCTTTGGGCTGCCAAATTCTTTGAGCTGTCATATACACAGAAACATGAACCTGAAAAATTCAGAACTGACTCATTGTTTGTATCCTTTTTATCATTATGACGCTTAATAAATGCTTATTTGTATGACCTTTGACCCCATTAGCTAATCACACTATAGCTTCTTTTAGGAAAAAAAGAAAAGAGAAAAAGGGGAAGGAAAAATAGTAAAGGAAAGAAAAGAAAAAAATAAATGAAACTTGTACACACTAAAGCAGAGTCCAAAGTACTTGGAACGCTAACAAACTCATTAATGGCATCCAGTGTTAACATGTGGATCAATTTACTTGGTTGCAGCTGATGGCTGTTCCAGTTAGTCACCTTCAGTCACACGGGGACTCAGCTGAGATCTGTTATGATGACTGCCAAGAGGGGAGAGCCAGGAACGTCCAGGTTGTACAGTTAGCGTGCTTCTGATAAAAAGAGGTGAAGAACCGGAGGAGGTGGGAAGCTCTAAGCGAGGTTTTATTTCCTTCTAAGAGGGAGTGGTACAGTTAACTAGCTACGGTGATGTTTCTCAAGACGATGAAATAGAAGTCCTAGAGACGAGAGCGCTGTGGGTCAAAGGGTAGTCCTGTACAGAAACAATTGGGCTGAACAATAAGAGGGGGAGCGATTTGAGTGAGTGAAGGATCAGAAGAGACACTCCTTTAGAAAATGTAAACAGGTGGCCGAGGAGAACTTGGCGTTAGTGTTTACAGTGATGTGGATTAAACCCACAAGCCGCACCCAGCAGGCTGGTACCAGTGAAAGTGGCAGTACCAATGATGGTGAAATTAGAGAAAGAAATGTTACAGCCACTTCGCAAACCGCTGGACACTTTCTGAAAGTATTAAGTATAGCTGGGTGGCGGTGGTGGTGCATGCTTTTAATCCCAGCATTTGAGAGGCAGGGGCAGCCGGATCTCTGAGTTCGAGACCAGCCTGGTCTACAGAGCGAATTCCAGGACAGCCAGAACTATGCAGAGAAACCCCTGTCACAACCCCCACTCAAGAAAAGTGAAAGAAAGTATTAAATATAGGATTAAGATAATACAATTCTACTCTTAAGATAAACCCATAGCAACTGAAAACATACATTCACATAAAACCTGTATGTGTGTAGTAGGATTATTCTTAAAAATAAGAGGTTGGTTGGCATGGTGGCACTTGGGAAGCAGAAATGGATGGGGCTAAAGGTTTTAAGATATCGTCAACTGCTTTGTCAGTTCACGGCAAGCCTGGGCTACACGAGACCCTACCTTAACAGAAAAGTTGGGGAGATAGTTTGGTCAAGAGAGAGCTTGACTTACAAGCATGAGGACGAGTTTGAACCCCAGAAACCAGCTAAAAAAGAGAGAGAGAGAGAAAGGTATAGTGGTACACACTTGTAACCTGGGACTGGAAAAACAAGTGGAGACAGGAAGATCACTGCTAGTGTCGCCTACATGGAGAGTTCCAGGACAGTAAGAGAGTCTATCTAAAAAGAAGAGAAAAGGGTAGACGGCACCCAAGGAACACGCTACGGTTCTTCTCCGACACTCGCACCTGCACACACATAAACACATCACAGAAAATCAAAGGAAATTAACTTTCGCCTGATGAAGGGTAAACAAAATATGGTATATTCATCAATACAATGTAGTATTATTTGACCTGTTAAAATAAAGAAATGCTGTTATAGACTAAAGCACAGATGCATCTGAGCAATGTAAGTGAAAGAATTCCAGTTCCAAAAGGTCATATAACTTATGGTTCACACCGAGTGCCTGGATCAGGTAAATCCACAGTGACAGAGAGTGCAGACTGGTTACACAGGGCTGGGAAATTGTGGGGAGGGCTGGACACCGAGTGACAGTTAATGGTATTTCTTTGGGGGAATGACAAAATGTTGTAAAAATCACTTTATAACTGTGCTAGTTTTCCCAGCTTAACACAAACTAGAGTCACCTGGGAGGAAGGACCCTCCTTTGGGGAATGGCTGCCACCAGATTGGCATGTGGATGTGTCTGCGGGCACTTTTCCTGATTGATGTGCTGTGTCTTTCTGGGCAGGTAGTCCTGAGATAAGAAAACAGGCTGAGCAAGCCGTGGGAAGCAAGCCAGTAAACAACAGCATTCTTCCATGGTCTCTGCTTCATTTGGGGCCTGGGCTTCTCTTACTCATAAACAGTCATGTGGAAGCACAAGCCAAATAAGCCCCTTCTCCTCAACTTGGTTTGTAATGAGCTAATGAAACCTCAGGTGAGCTGAGAAACTCTGGACAAGAAAGTTGACATGCTGCTAACAGCTTCAGCGGGCAAGGATCTGCAAGCACCTGATAAGATAAACATAACCTCCTTCGGTGTTTGCAACTTTGAGACCACAGGGGACAGAACAGACTTCTGGACAAGGGACAATTTGCTTCTGTACAGCTCGGTCTATTTTATTGCCAAGGATTTATTTACTTCCATGGATCTTGATCTAACAGAATTGGTCACTGTCTTACCACAGGAACAGATGGCAAATTAATACAGACTATGTAGTTGTAAATATAGTTAAATATTTATTTATATGCTTCAAAGGGGTGATTTTTGGTATGTAAATTACACCTCCATTCAGCTGTAAAAATTAAATTCTCAGTTTAGCCATAAGGAACTTGTCTGAGATGTGAAAAGGTCATCGTTAAATCAACACTTCCTCCAGGACTTGGGGGGCAGACTTTCATATAAATAAATATCATCAATGACAAACAAAGTCTGTGGCTGGTGGTAAAGTGAGCCCATATGTGAAACAGGGTGCATGTGCTCTGAGGGCCCAGTGAGACAGCACAGTTAACTTTTTGTATCTAGCATACTTTAGTTTGCTATCGGCTGTTTCTCAAAATAACCACACCTATGCAACCTCCTGTCATTAAAAATAAGAAAATATAAGCGAAGGGACTCTGGACAGCTTGAGTATCATGAGTATGGCTCTGGCAGGCCTTGCCCTTCTCCCCCACTCCTCCATTAGGTCACATTCCTAGCTAGACCCCAGGATCTACTCCCTTACTTGGCCACTTCCTCCTCCCGAGGCTGCCTACCAAGGTTCAGCTATCAAAGTATCGAAGTCCAGCAATCAAAAGCCCCCTTTGGCTCACCTAGTAAACATGCCTAATTAAAATTAAACACCTCATCATTCCCTCTGTACCTTTTAAACCTCCATTTTCCTCTATGCCACATCTGTCTCCTCTCTATTCAGACACTCCTTTGTCCCTCCAGGACAAATACCCTTGCCACATTTCCCTTCTTCCCTTCCCATCCTGCCTTGTCCCCTATATCCTCCTGTGTTTGCCTCTCATCCTCTGCCCTTAGTCTCTCTGGGGCAAATACATCTCCTTTGTGCTGAGAAGTTGGCACTGGGGGTCCTGAGCTGATACTTCTCAACTCAATAAGTATTTCTTCAACTTGCTTATTTGGGGTAAATTCAGAGTAAAAATCTACCCCACAGATTAGTACTATATATTACATTCCATTAAATTCACAAGTCTTATCAGTAAGCAAGCTATGAACCTGCAAAGGAGGCTCGCACTCGCTAGGGGGAGGGACGACTGGGCGTGAGAAGAGACCGGGACACGGCGCCCTGCAGCGGAGAGGTCGAGTGAAAAACCAGGCTGAGCCGTGGGCTTCCTTACCCTTCCGCAGGGTTGTGCCCGTGCGTGGGCGGAGCCGCCGCCATCTCTCTGGACCGCGGCCAACGTGCCGCAGAGTCCAGCAGGAAGATGCTTTAGCAGGGACTGCAGGACGCTAATCGGATTTTCTGCTCGCGTTCCTAGGGCGCAATCCGGGCCCGGAAAACCGCCGAGGGCGGGGCCAGGGCCGGGGGCGGGGCAGCGAGCCCCGGCAACCCACCCCTTCCAGCACGGGGTTGGACCCTCGAGGCTTTCTGTCCAATCGCGTTCCCCGACGTGCGCGGGGCGGGACCCTCGCGGCTTTCCGTCCTAGTTGGGCTCCTGGGCTGCGCAGGGCTGGCAGGCCGTCGTTGCCGAGGACCCTGAGAGGGGCGGAGGTGAAGGTGAGCGTGCAGCTGGCTCCCTCCGTTCCCTCCCACGGCGGCGAGCGGTCAAGGGGCAGTGGAGCTGCGCCAAGCCGAGCAGGGTGCAGTCGGGCAGCGCCTCAGAAACTCCGGTCTGGCGCGGGTGTGGCGTCCGCAGGCATCTCGCCCTTCGGGTCCGGGATATCCCCCCCCCCCCCGCCCCCCGCCATTGCAACGTCCAGCTAGCGGGTCGGGGTGCTTGTTCCTTAATTTTTCCCGATTTGTCCTCATCCCCTGCGCCGAGTTGCCCTTGGGTTGGTGGGAGGAGTTTCTGAACTTTCTTGCTGCTTTTTGCTTCTGTTTCAGCCTAAGTGCGGGTACCGGAAGGTGCTCTGTGCCCCTTGGGTCCATCTAATTAGATGCCTGGAACATAGCTAGCTCTGCAGCGATTTAAGCTAACAGATGACCATTCTTCTGTTTCTCCAGCTTCTTTCACTTCCTTTCCCCTCACTTTCTGGTCTTTACTTCAGCGCAATTCTTCCTACAGTCTCCAGCCTTGTTCAAGCCCCCGTGGTTTCACATCAGAATTGTTGGAGCTTCTGGCAGTCCTGAACACTTCATCTTGGTTTACTGGTATGTGACACTTTGTTTGCTTACTCTTCCTGGTTCTTGTTCCTGCTTCTTTGAGTTCACATTACCTTACTCTCAGGAAATCCACTCTAGTTAAACCCATAGTAATAGTGTTCTTAATGTTATTGTAATCCTTTAACTTAATCTATGTGGTCGAAAACTTAAGACAACTCTTAGCGAATCTGCTTTACCTGGTCCAGGGTTTAAGCAACACAGTGGTCATAAAATTAGTATTCTCTTTCTCGGCTTTGGGGGGGTCTGTTAAGTGACAGGGAAGTGGAAAGAGAGCGGCTTGCCATATTAGTTTCCTGTTGCTACCACAACAGATGATCTCAGGCAGTTAAAAGAACAGACTGAGCTTCTGTGAAGTCTGAGTGAGTTTAGCTGTTTATCCTACACAGAATCTCAAAAGGAGAGATCAAGGCGCCTGAGTTATTCTCTGAGGTTTTAGGGTTCATTCGAGTTGGCAGAATTTAATTCCTGCTCACTTGCAGGATTGAGGATCCCATTCCTGTTAGCGCTTTTTTGCCTCTGAGTTCCTCCAGGTCGTGGATGTAGACATAGAAATGGCAGCATCTCTACCTCACGGACTCAAATAATTCGGTTAAGTCCTGACTATTTAAGCTCATTTTTTTTCATAGCTGAAACCCAGTTGCAACCATAGGAGTAATGATCTCCTATCATAATGACGAGTTCTGGGAAATAGAGAGTGTAGGTAGCAGTTGAGGTCATCATAAAAATTTCTGCATACTCTAGTCCATAATATACTTGTTTCAGGATGAACTGTTTTTATGGCATGCTTTTTAGGGCATGCCAAAATAAAAAATCTGATGACAGTATGATTATACATTCAAAGGTAAAGAGATTCTATTACTTACTTGCCTAGAGTTTGGTGAGTATTAGTGGCACATACCTTTAATCCGAGCACCAGGGAGTCAGAGGCAGGCAGATCCGTGTCAATTCAGGCAAGCCTGGTCTACACTGCTAGTTTCAGGCCTGCCAGGGGTATATAGTGAGATTCTGTCTCAAAATAAGTAAATAAATAAAAAGGGCAAATTTTGAGGTCCTTTGAGATGTATTGTTAGATAATGGCACCTGCAGCCAAGTCAGCTAACCCATGTGTGAGTCCAAAGGACCCACAAGGTAGAGGAGAAAAAACTCCTGCAAGTTTCCTTTAACATGTGTGCTGTGACAGCCCACCACCACCAAATAAATGCTCCCAGTGTTTTCCAGTCACTTACCTAGCAGCAAATGGTTAAAAAGTAGCTGAGTCTATTTTTAGGACCAAGAACTACATTTCTGTTAAGTCCAAAGCGGTTTATCAATATTCAGATGGGATGTAAGGAAAACCATTAAGAAGAGGCTGAACTTTGAGGTCCTAAGGTATTAGCCAAAATAGTCTGCCTTGCCTTTGTTTCTGATACTGTTAACTTTTATAACACAAGTAGAATATTTAGCTTTGCCATTTTAAGATATGATATGAAAGGGCAGAAAGTTTTCATTTAATATTAATTTCTTGTTTTCTTAGTTACTGTTTTATTATGGAATTTATAAATTATTCATTCAGAAATCTTATTATTTAATACCAATATACCCTAATCTTAAATGGGATTAGTTTTATTTTGACAAGAATACCACAAATCTAGAACATATTTAAGATTGGTTTGTGATACTCAAAGCCAGTCTGATTAGGTCCCATGCCATCTGCACAGTTTTAAGTTAGATCAGCTTGTCACATGAAGTCTTACAGTATGTAACATCTATGACCTACTCTTCCACACGTCTGCATTGTTTTTCAGACATAATATTTTCCTACACACCTAATCCTACCTACCCAGTAAGACTCTGGAGGTTCCCTAATGTTCTGTAATGTTGCCTTGTGGAAGGAGAGATTACAACCTAACAGATCTGCCTGGGTACCAAGGACGACCTCTCAAACCAATGACTAAATCGGAGATTTCGGTTCTCATATGCGAGCATGTTTTCTGTAGCACACTGCGCTAACTATCTGGTGTTTGATGAGGATGGCTACTAGTCCCGCTGATGATGCTTTGGTTCCCTAGCTGTAGTGAGGAGTGGTGGGCTGCATTTTTCGGCCGCCTGGCTAGCTAATGCCCCGAAATAATTATACACGGAAACTGTATCCTTTTAAACACTGCCTGGCCCATTATATCTGGCCTCTTCTTGGGTAACTCTCATATCTTGCTTAACCCATTTCTAATAATCTGTGTAGCACCACGAGGTGGTGGCTTACCGGGAAAGATTCTGGCCTACATCCGTCTCGGGTTGGAAAATCATGGCAACTGCCTGAATCTGCTTCTTTCTCCCAGCATTCTGTTCTGTCTACTCTGCCTATCTAAGCTGCTGTACTATCAAAGGGTCAAGGCAGTTTCTTTATTAACCAATGAAAGTAACACATAGACAGAAGACCCCCCCCCATATCACCTAGCATATTGAATTAATGTTAAAGTTGGTTTTCTTTGTCCAACAAGTTTACAAATACTTAAAAAGTTGAAGTTGTGACGGATGCTGTTCTTCTTTTCTTCAGTTTTTCTACTGTGATTATATCATGGAAAATCAACTGGCAAAGTCAGTTGAAGAACGGACATTTCAGTACCAGGATTCTCTCCCATCATTGCCTGTTCCTTCACTTGAGGAATCATTGAAAAAATACCTTGAATCAGGTACATTTATAAACTTCTAGTATAGATTAATATTGATAGTGACATAGAAATGACAGAGACTGATGAGAGTCTAACTGCAGATGCCTCTAGACTCATAAAACATGCAAAGCTTTTAGAAGTTATTTTTCCACGGTGTGAAAAGCCCGATAGTATTAATAGGCATGCGGTGTAAATGTCAATTCTTTTTCTCCATCTGTGTGTACAAGTCCCACTTTGGCAAAGATCTTGAAATCTTTCTCTGCTTCTTTTGCTAGCACCATATTTGAACTAATCTTATGTTTCTTGAACCTTGTAATTCCTTCAAATGGTTGTGTAGTTTGCTGCTAATGCCTGTCCACGCATCTGTACAATCCATCATGCTCACATTTCCCCTCTGATTCTTGTCACCCATATACAAAGTCACCATTCTAAGTCAACAGCCACCTGGTTTTAGTAATTCTTTCTCTTAAGTCTCCTGGCTATTCAGGGTTGAGAGCAGTGGTTCTGAACTCTGTAATGCTGTGACCCTTTAATACAGTCTCTCATGTTGTGGTGACCCCAACCATGAAATTATTTTCATTGCTACTATATAGCTGTAATTTTTCTACTGTTGTGAATCCTAGTGCAAATATCTATGTTTTCCAATGGTATTAGGTGACCCTCAAAGAGGTTGTAACCCACAGGTTGAGAACCTCTGGTTTAGTTGTTCATAAACGAGCCAGTCATTTACTTTTGGGACTTGTTGTATTTCCACCTTCTTTTTCATTTCTTAATTTTTTCCTTTGTATTCAAATTTATTTCTAAACACTAGAATGAATGAACATTCTTGTATACAGTTAGACATAAAATATTGAGTCAGTTTTATTTCCTGTTAAAAACGTGCATTGTGGAGCTCTCTTTTCCCCTCTTCTTCTCTCCTTTCCCCTTCTCCTTCCCCCTTCTTTTTCCCCCTTCTCTTTCCCCCTTTCTTTCCCCCTCTCTTTCTCCCTCTCCTCCCCTCTCTCCTACCTCTCTCTACCCCTTCTCCTTCCCCCTCTCCTTCCTTCTCCTTCCCCCTTCTCTTCCCCCTCTCCTTCCCTCCCTCTCCTTCCCTCCTTCTCCTTCCCTCCCTCTCCTTCCCTCCTTCTCCTACCCCTTTCTCTTTCCCCTTTCTACTTCCCCTTTTCCTTCCCCCCTCTCCTTCCCCTCCTCTCAATAAGGATAGACTGCCTTGAGTTTGCTCCACAGCTGTGATTCAGGACATTTCAGTTGCCAGCAACCTGGCAGCTCTCTTCCCTTCTCTCCTGTGTTCTCTCTTTCCTGTCTGCTTTCATATGTTGCTCACCCTTGTAACTGCTTACAAAAGAGTATTTGAGAGAGCAAAAAAAAAGAGCTAATTGTTTTTACTTGATTGTTTAGCTCTGTGTAGATTTCTGAATTGGGTGTGCTTTAAGAATTCTGAAGGCCTTGTTTGTTCCATATGGGAAATATGGTGTCGTTCTGATTTTGGGACCCATCCCCCTAAAGATTATAGTACCTC